AGAGGGGCTGGAAACCCATTTCAATTAATATTTGCCCTGCGCCCGACCGAGAGGTCTCGATCGCGCGAAAACCGCCCGACACCCACCTCGGATTTCGATACGTTAAAATGCGAATAAGGTCTGCGCAATTATTTACGATAAACCTGCGCTCTCGTAATGTACACTCGACGTGCTGGGCTGGACGCCGACGCCGACGCCGACGCCGACCACAGCCCACTCTCCCTCTCTCTGCCGTCGAACGTCATCGTTCGTCGATGGGAATCCATCGCGCGTACATAAACTACCGTGTTTACAATCGATGCCGGAGCAAAATGGCATCGACGCTGCACCAAATTTAGTCCCTGCAGCCTACACACCTGATGCTTCCATTTCCGTCCCGTCTCTCTACTCTGCTCCACTCTACTCTACTCTACCCTACTCTACCCCCCTTTCAGGTCAGACATTTCTGACGAGCTCGCTCTCGAACAAACTCCTGCTTCACTCCGCTCCGTTTCGAGAATCGCGCGACGATGACACACGGGCGAAACTTTCAAATTAATTACCGAATGGACCCTCGCGAGGAGAATTAATGCCGCAAAGAGACCGATCCCGCGATCGATTCTATAATACGTTCGGCAGTAGGTAACGCGTAATTTTATTCAAATCTCATGCAGATTGCTCCGTTATCGGCTACTTTTTCAATTACGTCGCGGCAGGCTATAAAGCGTAATAGAAGCGAGCGCGCGCCGCGGGCGAAACTTTTTCTCTGCTCTTGCCTCACCCTGCTCCGCCTCGCCCCCCACCTTGCCGAGATCCTGCCAAACCGGTATAAACTTTAAGTATGAGATATGGCCTGGACCGTTTTTGCACCGACCACGATCGGTCCGCGCGATCCTTCGTTATTACCAACTTTCGGGAGAAATAACCGCCCGATCTTTATCCTGATTTCCGTCCGCAGCAACCGCTCGCGACCCTTTCGAGCGTGACTAATGAATTCACGGGAGAACCGTGGATTCTTTGCCGACGCCCAACACTCGTTCCCCGCTGGTCAGGAGTTCTCCCTCTTTCTCGGGGCGGAAAGTCGAGCGCCATTCGTTTCGCGATCTAATTTTCACCCGCGTTTAATCTTCGCACGCGTTGGCACGCGGCCGACATTTCTTTCACCATTCGCATTCGAGGATATCGCTGTTCGCCTCGCGCGCCACATACCAACCACGTCCCCGCGAATCTTCCCTCCGAACCCTCGCTCGCGTGCCTTTCTGCAACAGAGTTCCACGTTTAACTCGCTATTTGCCTACCACGTTTCTCAACTCTCTTTCCTCTCGGCAACTCGCCGGGATTTAATGAAAACGGGCGAACGCGATCGCTTTCGGTGGCGAAAAGTTCTTTCTTCCCCCGTGGTAATTCCTAAACTGCGCGTTCCTCCCTCCACGCGAGTTTCCGATTCGATCGTTCGCAAAGTACCGGGCAGGGCAGAAACAGATTCCTCGAGAGACTTGATCTCGACGATATCGGCGATGGTGGTGGTGGTGGTTTTTAGAGCTTGCGGCTATTTATCGGGCAACTCTTTAATAGTCGATCGTAGATTATCATTGGGCAAGGGTGGCGCGGCAGGTGGTTTTGATACGGTCCGCAGCCCGTTCTAAATAAATGTATCGTACATCCGGCTACCGAGCTGAATTTTCCCCGAGAATTTCTATTCCCCCGCAGTCCGCGGAGAGAGAGTACCATCTTTCGTTTTCGAAAAGAGAGCTTTTCCGACTATGCAATGCGGAAACTTGATTTGATTGAATTGGGTTTAGCCGGGGCCAGACGGGGCTCGTTATCCCGCGATATCGCGACCAGAAGCGTTTGGAATATTTAAAAATCCATCGATCGTACGCGCATGCCAGCACCACGCGCTCTCGATTAATGCACCAGTTACGAACTATTTCGGTATGATAATCGTCACGTGCCTGGCCACAATGCGACCCGACCCGACCGGATAGCAATAATCTCGAACGAGCGATTCGATCAAAAATTATCGACGGTTCGCCGATGGAATAATATTTACCTTAAATTGCATCGCGCGCGTTCCCCTGCATCGCAGTTTTCGTGCAGAGCCGATAGATTAGCGCGTTCGTCGCTGCTCGAATTTTCCATCCACCTCTGTCCTCTCCAATACCGGTCCGCGATAATCTTCTATTTTGTGATCACGCGAGGACAATTTTTTTCGCCGCATTTCGCTTCGCCTCGATTCCATTCGATTCGATTCGACCGCGCGTTACCAGGCCCTCCACGATCGATCACGAATAGAACCGTGACAGATTGGATGTGTCAACGGCTTCGCCACGCAGAAAGCACGGCCGTTAACGCAGTCTGGACCGATCCACGGAAGAGTGGCCATAAACGGTCCGTGCGATCGCAAACTTTCCAGATAGTTCGCTCGGTCCTGCTGTTTCCATCTTGAGTAACAGCGTCTCTTTATCGTTGGCAACGAAAAAAAAAAAAGGGACGACTATCACGCTGTTGACGCTATCTGTCCGGCCGTCGCTCGATTTCCCGCGATAGCAAATTTCGTTTATCGAGTTTACACGAGTTTCCATCCTATCGAATGCAATATGCGTACGTTCCTCTCTTTTCCTTCGATCGACCTCGACGAGGTCCGATGCGAGAACTTTTGCCAGTTCTTTCCGATTTAGCAAGTCGGAGAGAAGGTCGAGACGGACGAGACGGACGAGACTAGGGGCAACTCGACTCTAATCAAAGACTTCCCTTGATCTTGTGCTCGCAGGTCCACCGACGATCCTGGTGAGGCCACAGACGCAGCAGGTGAAGGCAGGCGGAATAGCGAGTTTCTACTGCACGGCGGAGGGATTACCGGCGCCCCAGATTCACTGGCGGAAGAACGGAAAGAGAGTTTCCCGTAAGTTTTCGCTTTTCACCCTTTCGAAACTTTGGACCAGATGGAAACGAAATGGTATCGAAATTACGAAATTTCGCGCTCGCTCGACTCCCGGAAACGTCGCCGGCTGTCGCTGCTTTCTCTCCTCCGCGACTGGCCGGATCTCGAGCGTGAATCCTCGATTCGATTGTCCTCGACTGGCCTCGACTGGCCTCGACTGGCCTCGAAATTCGCTAATCGGGATTTCTCCGTTCTCGTTTACCTCAACGTTCCGTCCTGTGCCGCAGAGTCGCAGTCGCGGTACCTGGTGCAGAACTATGAAAACGGAGCTTTACTGCGGATCGAACCTGTCAAGCCGGTTCGAGACAACACCATGTACGAGTGTCTAGCTGAGAATGGAGTCGGCGACGCAGTGTCAGCCGATGCGCAGCTCACAGTCTACGAAGGTACGTATACTCTGCTTCTCTTCTCCTCGTTCACCGTGGATGGGGGCGACACGGTCCGATAGCTATTAGCGTTATCGAGGCAAACGGCGTAGACGAAATTGAATATTTAACGAAAGCTTGCTAGGGACAGCTGCTACCTAGCCGCAGACGATCGGAACGGAGTTTCGAAGACGGTGCGGAACAGCAGCAGGCCGTTGGGGGGAGAAATTAAAGGTCATCGAAATTCTCAGCGATCCGCTAGATAGCCAGCTAAATTTCGTCGAAATTAAACGAAGCCTTTCTTCTTTCGTAGCAAGGTCCTCCCTCTCTTTTCCTCTTTCTCTTTCT